TTAACTTATTATTAGGTGGTTTATTGTCATTGTCAGGATTCGAACCCGGTACCTTAGAGTTGGAGGTTGAAACTCCAACCACCGAGCTACTAGAATCTTTTAATAATAACTTACAAATAAATTATATTTATATACAAATAAATGTATATCCGTATAAATATATAAATATAAAATCTATAAATAAAAATATATTTATAAATTTTAATATATATTTAAATATTGATATATTTATATAAGCATAATGTATATTAATATATGAGGGGATAATATTGATATATTGATATATTTGTATATATATATATATATATATATATATTTATTTATATATATTTATATATTTATATATTGATATATTTATATATTAATATATTTATATATTTATATATTTATATTTTTATATTTTGATATATTTATATATTGATATATTGATATATTTATTTATATCCTTATACATTTATATCTTTATATATTTATATATTTGAAAAAAAATATTAAATTTTAAAAATAATATTATATTTTTAAAAATAAATATTAGAAAAAGATTTAAAAATATATATAAATTATATTTACATTTACAAAATATTAAAGATATATGTTTATATCTTTACATATTTATATATATTTATATGTTTATATTTTTACATATATTTATATCTTTCCATATTTATATATTTATATATAAATATATTAGTTTTGTATACAAATAATATTATAATATAGTATATTATACTATTAGTATAGTATACAAATAATATGTTAGTATAGTATAGTATACAAATTATTAATTTTGTAATTTATATACAATGAAAATAATATAATGGTATATTGGTATAGTATATTTGTATTCTAATTTTTAAATAAACTAAAATTACGCTAAATGTATAATAATATATGAGAGGATAATAAATTTAATCCAATTACTTTTATAAATATATAAATATAAAATCTATAAAATATTAAAAATGATATTATATTTTTAAAAACAAATATTAGAAAAAGGTTTAAAAACTAGTATTATCTTAAATTTATTAAAAGTATAATTAAATCTCTATTTTCTTAAAAAAAAATTTAAACTTCTCAATTCTACATTTTTATAAATTCTATCATTATATTATCATGCTCATTATATCAAAATGTTAAATACTTTTAAATATTAAAATTAACTTTATCAAAAATTAGGAAAAAAAATTAATCCAAAAGAGTTCAAAAATATATTATAATATTGTCAATTTTGAGTTTAATTATATTGTTCATTCTCAAAGTAGAAAAATATATTGTAATTATTTTAATTTAATAAAATATAATTTAAAATTTTAATACTAAAATTAAAAGATTAAATAATAATAAATTTAATTCTTTAAATTCAGTAGTTAGAAACTAAAATTATAGTTTCTCTGTTTTAAATAATTAAAATAAATATTTAAAAATAAAAATCAAAACTAGTATTATCTTAAATTTATTAAAAGTGTAATTAAATATCTATTTTCTTAATTTTATTTGTTTCAAACTTCTCAATTCTACATTTTTGTAAGTTCTATCATTATATTATCATCCTCATCTCCTCCCATGTTCTACTTTATCTTTACAATAGTCAATATTCTTAACTAATTTATAGTTTTAATTATAATTTTTTAGTATATATTTCAGAAATTAATCAATTCTAATCTATTATTTGAAAAACTAATCAATTCTAATCAATAATTTAGAAAACTAATCGATTATAATTAATTATTTGAAAAAATTATCAAATATGATCGATCATTTTGAAAATATAATCGATTAGAATCGGATTTCGCTTGAGCGAGAGTAGTCTCGCTCAAGCGAAATACACTTCGAATATCGTATAAGCCTTAACCGCTATCTAATATACACTTCAGATAGCGGTTATAAGGGAACCACTATTATATCCTCTCAATTATGATCGATCATTTCAAGTTATGATCGATCAGAATCGTATTTCGCTCGAGCGAGTAGTGTCGCTCAAGCGAAATACAACCTGAGAATGCCAATTTTGTGCGAGGCGTTTCGCTCGAGCGAGAATATTGTCGCTCAAGCGAAATACATTTTAGATAAGCGGTTCCACAAGAACCGCTCTTTAAATTGCACTTCTAATAGCAGTTAACCATTAACCGCTATCTAAATTATACTTTAGATAGCGGTTAACGTGGAACCGCTATCATATCTTCTCAATTATGCATAATGAAAACTTACATTAACTATTTTTTTGAATATTATGTTTTTAAATTTGCTATTAGAGAAAACCTTTCAGAATTCAAAATGTTAAATACTTTTAAATATTAAAATTAACTTTATCAAAAATTAGGAAAAAAAATTAATCCAAAAGAGTTCAAAAATGTATTATAATATTGTCAATTTTGAGTTTAATTATATTGTTCATTCTCAAAATAAAAAAATATATTGTAACTATTTTAATTTATTAAAATATAATTTAAATTTTTAATACTAAAATTAAAAGATTTCTGTTGCATGAGGTTTCTTCACTTAAAAGATTTTGCAAAATGCCTCTACAAATGTTTTTAACAATTAAAAACAAAGTATTTTGACAAAAGCTTTCTCGAATGCCTCTACAAAGTATTTTTAACAATTATATTGAGTTTAATTCTACAAATTAAAAGATTAAATAATAATAAATTTAATTATTTAAATTCAGTAGCTAGAAACTAAAATTATAGTTTCTCTGTTTTAAATAATTAAAATAAATATTTAAAAATAAAAATCAAAACTAGTATTATCTTAAATTTATTAAAAGTGTAATTAAATATCTATTTTCTTAATTTTATTTGTTTCAAACTTCTCAATTCTACATTTTTGTAAGTTCTATCATTATATTATCATCCTCATCTCCTCCCATGTTCTACTTTATCTTTACAATAGTCAATATTCTTAACTAATTTATATTTTTAATTATAATTTTTTAGTATATATTTCAGAAATTAATCAATTCTAATCTATTATTTGAAAAACTAATGAATTCTAATCAATAATTTAGAAAACTAATCGATTATAATTAATTATTTGAAAAAATTATCAAATATGATCAATCATTTCGAAAATCTAATCGATCAGAATCAAATATCGCTTGAACGATAATAGAGTCGCTCAAGCTAAATACAACCCGAGAATGCCAATTTTGTGCAGGGCGTTTCGCTCGAGCGAGAAGAGTGTCGCTCAAGCGAGATACATTTTAGATAGCGGTTACACAGGAACCGCTCTTAAAAGCTCACTTAGATAGCGGTTAACCTGGAACCGCTATTATATCGTTTCAATTATGATCGATCAGAATGCGATTATGACCGATCAGAACTATTTTAATCGATTAAATCTTGTTTATTAAAACAATTTCTGCACAGACATTTTAATCGATTAAAACTTATTTTTATCAGCTTAAAATAACTTGAAAAGTTTTACGAGAAAGTTTTGTAGTATTTCAATCGATTGAATCGCTGAAACAATCGATTAAATCAACTTAGAAGATTTTTTGTAAAGTGTTTTAATTGATATAAACGTTGTCAGTATCAGCTTAAAACAAATCTGTTAAAGAATCAAGAACGTTAAATTTTAAAAAAAAAAGTAATTATTATATATTTTTTTATTTTATAAAAATGATTAATAAAAGAAAATTTTATTATTTTTTTCTTTTTTTAGGTGTAAAAATATAATTAAATAAAAGATAAATATATATACTGTTGCATTTTAATTTTCAAATATTAATTTTTTTATGAAATTAATTTTAATTAAAAAAATTAAAGTGATATATATATATATATATATATATTATTTTTAATTTATTAATATTATCAAATTTGAGCTTAATAATTAAAAAAATTACCAATAATTTAAATTTTAATATATCTATAATTTTATATAATTATTAATATAAATTTAATTCTTCTAATAATATTAACACATTTATTAAATTAAAATTCTTTACTTTAATTAATTATTTTAAATTTTTTTAACGATTTTTTTAAATAAAAGCAATAAAACTTAAAATTAATTTCTAACTAAATCTTCACACATATTTATGGTTAATACTATATTATATTATTATGTTTAATTAAATTTTAAAATAAGTTCACTTTATTTTTACACTTTTATATAAAAATGACTAATATAAACTTAAAATATATATCCAACTATTAAATTATCCAAGATATTAATATAAATTTAAAATATCAATTCAGTAATTAAAATAATTTTAATTTTTTATAAATACATTGAAATACATTTTTATTAACATACAAGTAATATATATATATATATATATATATATATATATATATATATATATATAAAGAGACTAAATTAATAATTAATTTAATTATTGATTTAGTGACCGATCGATGCTAATCGATCGGATCAGTGATCGAATCAGTGACCGAATCGGTGACCGATTCGATGACTGATTCGATGTGACCGATTCGGTGACTAATTTAATAATCAATTTTAATTTTTTTATTCACATGCTAAATTAAAAAATAAAATTAAATAATTATATTACTAAATTATTTAATAAGTTAGTAAACTATTTTTTTAAAATTTTTATAATGTTATTAACAATGTTATCACTTATTTTAAATTATTAAGTAGATTTATATTTAAAATATTTTAAATAAAATATTTATATAAATGAAAAATAATTATCAATTTAAAAATTATTTTTTTAGTGATCTGAAAATTTAGTCACTAAATCGAGTTACTAAATATAAAAAAATTCAGTCACCACTTTCGGTCACTATTAACCATAGTGGTTGAATCGATGACCGATTCGATGATCGAATCAATGATCGATATCTCGTGACTAAAATTTTAGTCACTAAATCAGTCACTAAATATAAAAAGGGAAATCAGTCACTGATTTAGTTACTATCAGTGACTGAATTTTTCAGTCACTAATTTCGATCACTATTTGATGTTTTTCTTGTAGTGATATATGAATAAAATTATAAAATGATATTATAGAATGGATTATATGTTTTTTAACTTATAAAACTTACCAAAAAGAAGGCTTTAATTTGAGTCCTTGTGATCTTGAACTCTGCATGAGCATCATGGTAAACTTGTAGCAGAATGTCCATCAAATCCATTTCACTTTCTTCATCACTATGATGTCCATTGGCACGTGATAATGCTTTGTGCTCGTGCTCCTTCAGCACCTTCTCCAACAACTCATCGTACCTTGTGCTCACATCCAAAGCCTTTTTCCCATACACCCAGAAACTCAACTGCTTCAGAGGACCCAACACATCCCCAAAGCATAACTTTGCCGCAAGCTCGAAGGATTCCTTCACCAGCTTCCTTATCCTCTCTGCATCCTCGCATTTCTCCGAACAACTTGCTCCAAAACACGACACAAAGAGTTTGATAGAACGATATTCTTCGAATCCAGCCAATCATATGATTCAATAATAGTTGAACTCGTAGTTCAGTGTGTTCCGTGCTAACGTTTTCATTCTTCAGAATGATTTGCATTATCACATGTAATATATAACTCAAGTTGCACCATATATGACATGATAATCTCAGACATAATAATTTCTCCTTCTTATCCCCTCCTCACCTCACTAATTTTATTTTAATTTCGTCACGGGATATCCACGCACATTATAAATATACAAAATTTATAATATATAATTAAGATTCAAATTTCATCTTATAACTCGATTTTATAAAAATAGATTGTAGATTTTTCGTATCTTATCAAGATACGTTGACCAGCCACTATCAATAATCAGATCACAATCTTGATATTCAGTTCTATGTTCGTGACTTATGGGATGTAACCAAGATTTTACACTATCATAGATAATCATCTTTCTATCTATAATAATTATTATTTCTATAACAATTTAGTCTATATTTACAAAATCATTATTTTAAAATAAGTGAATATTATTTCTGTAGATAACTTTTAATAAAAAAGAATAATTATATACACTACATACTTATATATTTTTCACTTTTATGTTGAAAAAAAAAATTATACATAGAAGTGAAGAAGACGTGCGCACCTAGTACTCATGGCCATCCTGCAAGTAACGTTGTTGGTGAGTTTCATGAATTCAGACCCCAAATCGATCGCACCACCCTTCTCTCTTGCATTCTCCAGCAGCCTTCCCACCGAACCTTCTATCTCTTCCTTTCTCACCTTCTTAGATCGTTCCAATTGCCGCGCGGAGAGGAGTGAGGTCACGCAGAGTTTCTTCACGAAGCGCCAGTAGGGGCCATAGGGGGCGGTGATGAAGCCGGCGCCTCCAAAGGGGAGCTTGTCGGCGAAGGCGAAGGCTGGGCGGGAGGAGAAGGCGAGGTCGTGGGTCTTGAAGATGTCGGCGGCAACCGCGGCGGAAGAGACGAGGAGGAGACGGCGGGAGGGGCCGAGGCGGAGGAGGAGGAGGGGGCCGTGGGTGGAGGAGAGGGCGTGGAGGGAGGTGTGGAGGGATGGGGAGAGGAGGTGGAGGTGGCCTAGGAGAGGGAGGCTTGGAGGGCTGGGTGGAAGGTGCAGATTGTTGGAGGTGTTGGTTTTGGTGTAGAATATGATGTAAGTCAGACGCATTGATCCGAGGAAGAGAAGCACCACCGTCACCATCATCATGGTATGCTCTCTGGTGTGTTCCTCATCCCATGATAAATATTCTATCACAGGGTAACAGATTAAACGAACCCGTATGGTCCAACGCGTGACCCTCGTGCACCAAAAAATAATTTCCTCAAATGGAAAATAAATTATGTCATCTTAAAAATACTGCATTAATTATTCAATTATGTATGATTCCTAAATTTGTGTTTAAATCATTTATTTTTATTCAGAATTATTCTTGACTTTTTACTCATATGTGTGAAAATTTTGAACTCCATATTCATTTAGATTAGCCTTGCTATTTCTCTTAGTTAATGTGTGAAAAATTCCAATATTATCCTCATCCTTTAATAAATTTAACTTGTATTTTTCTTATAAGAAAAAGTTAAATATTTTATTTAATATTATTGTTTTGAAAATCGATTCAACATATAATTTTATAAATCTAATCGGTATATTACTTCAAAATAATTAAATTGAAATAAAATTTTACTATGGTTAAAAATTAAAATCAAATTTTTAATATAATTTTAATATAAAATATAATATATTTTAATTTATTTTATTTTTTATTTTATCTTGTATTAATTACATCTTTAAATAATAATTATTTTATTATATTTTTATCTTATTTTAATAATTATATATCTTTTATTTTTTAATATATTTTATATTTGTAATTTTTATTATAATTAAGGGTGATAATAATTTTTATTATTATTTTTATAAAAAATATTATTATTAATAAATTTATTATAATATAAAAAATTTATTTTATTAAATTCGATTAAAATAAATTTCAATTAAATATTTAAATTTTAAACCGTGACTTATCTAATTTTAAAACCATTGATAAATACATGCATTTTAACATAATTACCATATTAATATTTTATCTAATATTTACATATATATTATTTTATTAAATTTTAATAATTATTAAAATAAATATTAATTTTATGTTATATGATCATTAAATAATGAATATAACTTTAAATATTGCATCGGTGCAAAAGAGAATAAGCTCTAAAAGTTATTAAAAGAAAAATCTGAACCTAAAATTTTAATAATATATAAAAATAAAATAAAATAGGTTAATTATATTAAATGTAAATATTTATTATTATTATTATTATTATTATTATTATTATATAAAAATGTATTTTATCAAAAATAATTTTAATATATTTTGTAAGAATATAATTTAAAATAGTGAATATAAGTCATCCACAGAAGTAGATAAAATACAAATTGTTTTTTTGGTAGATCAAAGTTTCAATTTTCCTAAATTGTTATTCTACAACAAATTGTGTAGCATATAATACATTCTATATTGATCATTTAATGTTACATTATCAAAGATTTAATAATCTAAAAAAATAAGTATGTACTTTGAATTACTTTTTTGAAATACACTAATTCCAAAATTAATAACCTGTTAAAATTAAATTTTCTGTGTCTCTTGTAATAATGGTAGGTAGTAGAATTCCATTTATACGATTTGATTGAGAAATTTTCATTCAAAATGATAAATTATCTTAAATAACAAAAATAATTAATATGTTGAATTTAAAATAAAGCTTTTCTTTATTTTTTTTAAAATAAAGATTAAGACTTTATAATGTTTATTGACAGAATCTTGATATGGAGTATCATCAACCATTTATTAACTAATAAAATATCAAGGGTAATTCACAGTAAAATTATATACAACTTAAAAGATATTGATTAAAATATAATAATTCCTAATATAAATTGATGCATGTAGATGACAATTCTAGATGTAAATAATATGAATTAATCACCATTAAATATCAAATTAATTCCAGAACTTCTTCATAAATGTAATAGATAGATATCATATAAAAATCAAGTGAAAATATGGGATATATTTTTCATATAGAAAAGTGCTAACCTATATTTGGAAAGAAGAAATACAGAAAAAAATTAGAAAAATTGAAGAAAAAAAAACTTTTTTTTTTTCTTTCTTCTGACTTTCATCCTTTTGAAACAAAAACATGAATGAACTCCACGTCCAAAACTGGATAAGTTCTGTAATAAGTTTTCTCACTCTTAGGTGGTTCAAAAGTGTCAACGTCTTACTTTTTCAGTTTAATAGAATGCTAGCATTCCCTAGACTGGTGCTTTATGCACTGGGCTGCCACTTTTGTTACTTTAATAACAAAAGGAGCATCTTTGAAACTTATCTTGTCCATGATATTGCCACCAAATGGGCTATACCTTAGCCTTTTATAAGTGTCATATATTTTGTTATACATTTTATTGTTACTCATTTAGCATTATGAATAAGTAGAATTGAATGGTAAGCTGAAGCATACTCATTTAGCATTTTATTGTTACTTTCATAGTTCAAGTAATTACAAGTATAATTGAGTAATAGTAGTAGATTTCCTGGTTTAAACATATGGTTAAGAAATGGACAAAAAGTTGAAGTGAAGGTCCCAATCGGATGTCTTCTTATTCAGACTGGAAAACAGGTGATTCAAAATTACCAAATTTTGCTGATATATATTTCATGAGAAGGAAATTAAAAGTTTATATTCCGGCTTTAAACATGTACTTGATTCCTTGTCCTCTCATATTTCCTGCCTTTCTGATGAAATAACCTTACAAGTTTTCTACTTGTCTTTTTTTTTTTAAAAAATTGTTCAGTTCGGCGATGTTAGTTGTGTCGGTATTTCATTCTCTCCTTTGAGATCAAAATTTGACAAACCTCTATACAAGTATGATTGATATGTTCTTTTGTGTGTTTTTCTTTTGTTCTAAAATACAGATAGAGTGGTTAACTGGAGGGGATTGCATAGCTGGCATGCATGAGGTTGTTGCCACAAAGAGGACAATTGATGCCATTAATTTAGCACAAGAGCAAAATCGTAGCTTATGGAGAGTCTCTTCAACGGTGAGTGAGGACGAATCATAATCATTTTTCAAACTAGGGAAAAAGAGCTTTTAAAAAATTGACTTGTCAGTGTTATATTGGCTGATAACATTTGTCTGTGCATGTAGTTGTTTGCGCACACATCATCAGATGCAGTTCTGAAGCCATTGGGACGTTTTGCAGAGTTGCCACTTGCAGGCAAATATCCACCTATGTGTGCGGGAGAGTATGTTGAACAAGAGCTTGCAGTAATCAATTTCAAGGGAAAGAAATGAGAACTTATTTACAATTGTAATAAAAAGTTCCTTATATTTTTCTTGAACTGGACCACATTCACACAGCTTTTCTTCCTCACGTTGGGGCAAAAACCTGAAAATAGAGATTTTTCATTTTGTCCCAAGAAATGGAACAAAGTGAGCTTCCAATTCATTTCTAATTAATTTCAATACATATGAAATGTCTACATGCTTCAGCATTTTATCACCAAAACGTATTTGTAATGATATCATTGTTTTCTTTTTCCGTTGTGAAGTGACGCCTAATAGATATATAAGATTAATTAAGTCACCATGTTCATTCTTTAAGTATTATCCAAGCAAACTTTTTCACAATGTCATGTTGGTTGAGTGAAAAAAAAAAAAGACAAAATTACAAGTACTTGTGACAAAACATTAACAATGTGTTGGATCAAGTGAATTGTCATGGAAGAAGAGGACGAGTGAGGAGCAACATGGTAAAAGCAAGAAGATTACACATTTCATCTATTTGAAGTTGATAATATGTTATGCTTAAAACTAACATTTTTCAATTTGACATCTATGTGGAGCACACGTGAAAGAGGAACAAGGGTGTGAAACTTTTGAGGACTATCGTTTAGAGACCAAATTGAGAGTGTATAAAGTGGGTAATAAGAAAATAAAAGTGGATGAATGCATGCAGAATTGCACGTGAACATGGCCTCGGAGTTGAAGAAGTGTTTGGCTTGGCTTTCGGTCGTTGCACCAAGTGAAGCAATGCCACTGTCGCCTCCTCCGTCATGGTCTCCACCACGACACCTTCCTCGTCAACACCCTCTTGCGTTCTTCCTTCAACCTCCGCGCCACGCAATACGCCACCGTCGTTTTCGCCCAAACCCCCCACCCCAACATCTTCCTCTACAACACCCTCATTCGCGGCCTCGCCTCCAACGAAGCCTTCCACGACGCCGTTTCCCTTTACGCTTCCATGCGCCAGCGCATCACCTTCGCTCCTGACAACTTCACATTCCCCTTCGTCCTCAAAGTCTGCGCCAGGCTTAAAAACACCCACCTAGGCCTCACCCTTCACTCTCTCGTTACCAAAATCGGCTTCGAAAGTGACGTGTTTGTTAACACCAGTCTTGTTTGTTTCTATTCCAAAAACGGGTTTCTAAGTCACGCGCGCCAGGTGTTTGATGAAATTTCTGACAAGAATGTTGTGTCCTGGACTGCCATCATTTGTGGGTATATGTTGAGTTTGGTTATTGTGAGGAGGCTGCTGGGTTGTTTAGAGGGTTGCTGGAGATGGGTTTGAGGCCGGATAATTTCACGTTCGTTCGGGTTTTGTATGCGTGTTCGAAGGTGGGGGACTTGCCTAGTGGACGGTGGATTGATGGATACATGAGGGAGAGTGGGTTGTGTGGGAATCTGTTTGTGGCGACCTCGTTGGTTGATATGTACACGAAGTGCGGAAGCATGGAGGAGGCACGAAGAGTGTTTGATGGGATGGTGGAGAGGGATGTTGTGTGTTGGAGTGCCTTGATTCAGGGGTATGCTGCCAATAGGATGCCGAAGGAGGCGCTTGAGGTGTTTTTTGAGATGCAGAGGGAGAATGTTAAGCCAGATTGTTATGCCATGGTGGGGTTTCTTTCTGCATGTGCGAGGCTGGGGGCGTTGGAGTTGGGGAATTGCGCTAGAGATTTGGTGGATGGTGATGAGTTTTTGTGTAATCCTGTGTTGGGTACTGCATTGATTGACTTTTATGCGAAATGTGGAAGTGTGGGGCAGGCGGTGGAGGTTTTTAAGTGGATGAGGAGGAAGGATTGTGTGGTGTTCAACGCTGTTATTTCTGGGCTGGCTATGTATGGACATGTTGGGGCTGCCTTTGGGGTGTTTAGCCAAATGGGAAAGGTTGGAATGCAGCCGGATGGGAACACTTTTGTTGGTTTGCTTTGTGGGTGTAATCATGCTGGTTTGGTTGATGATGATCGGCGTTATTTTAGTCGCATGAGTTGTGTTTTTGTTGTAACTCCTACTATAGAGCATTATGGATGCATGGTGGATCTTTTGGCTCGTGCAGGTTTGTTGGTTGAAGCGCGAGATTTAGTCAAGAGTATGCCGATGAAGGCCAATGCTATTGTTTGGGGAGCACTGTTGGGAGGATGTAGGTTACACAAGGATACCCAATTGGCTGAACATGTGTTGAAGCAGCTCATTGAGTTAGAACCGTGGAATTCAGGACATTATGTTCTCTTATCGAATATATATTTAGCAAGCCGTCGATGGGATGAAGCAGAAAAAATCAGGTCAAGTTTCAGTCAGAAAGGGATGCAGAAGTTACCCGGGTGTAGTTGGGTTGAAGTGGATGGGGTTGTTCATGAATTCCGTGTAGGGGACACTTCCCATCCTTTAACGCTCCAAATATATAAAAAACTTGAAAGTTTATTTAAGGACTTGAGAGAAGCTGGATATAATCCGACCACTGAGTTTGTGCTCTTTGATGTGGAAGAGGAGGAGAAGGAGTACTTCCTTGGCTGTCATAGTGAGAAGTTAGCTGTTGCATTTGCACTGATCAGTACCAGTGCCAAAGATGTGATTCGTGTTGTTAAAAATCTTCTTGTATGTGGTGATTGTCATGAGGCGATGAAACTTGTTTCAAAACTTACAAAGAGAGATTATTATTAGAGATAATAACAGGTTCCATCATTTCAGTGAAGGCTCATGCTCCTGTGGGGATTATTGGTAAAAAAACTATATGCATTGTGAGATGTACTTCAAAAGTTATTAGACATCAGAGTTTCTCTTGAATATGTTGAAATGGAATTGTATGTTTAGAGTTCTGTCAACCCTTTACAGAAGTTTTGGATGGGGATAAGTGAAATCTATGCTTGCCTACCTCAGAATATGGTGGAGATCCAAGATAGTTTTGCTGTCTTTCAGATAGGAGAAATGACTAGTTTGTCAAATGCACCTGCATAGGTAACATTGAATTTGTTTTCCATCCCTCAATTTGAAGCAGCAACTAGTGTCCAGCTATGAACTTAAAAGTACCTGTTATCATGGCATGAAAGGCTTTCCGTGAGCTTTGTAAGATTGCTAGTGAGCACTTGAATTATGGAGGTGCTGACTTTTATTTTTTTGAGGTTCTTGAAAAACTTTGCATGACTGGTACTAATTGGTAGAAGTTTAGCATAGACTTTAAGATCGATTTTATTAACAACTTAGACCGGTTACCTAAGGAAAGTATAACTATGCAACTTAGACTGGTTAGCTAATGAAAGTATAGAAAGGAAAAACGCCTATTTTATAACAATTGGTTAGCAAGTCATAATACATAACACGAATTGCAGTCTGTCGGTGGGGCCACATGCAAAATTTCAGCTTGACAACTGAACCATGTGTTTTCTTAGTATAAAAATAGATTGAGTTTCTTTACACTTGAGTTGTCTCTTTTATGCAGCCTAGGATTCTACTATTATACTACTCAGAAGCTCTTAAGTAGATGATATAGAAATGCAAACTATTGTACAGGGTAGAACTTTTGATTTAACGCATACTGATGAGAGTTTAAACTGGATTCTTAGAGCAGAATATTTCATCTTCCTTTCCTGATAAAATGGTGCTTTAAATGGGTAACAGGTTGGGGTTAACACATGAGTGAGAGTAGACATTCCAAGAAGCTATTTTGGCGAAGAGATGCAAGAGAAACTGAAAGCAATGCCTATAGAGAATTAGACACCCTCCTGTTTGACCTGAGCTCAAATGGCGGTATTTTTGGAGGATTCGTCCTCGACAATCAAAACACATTTTCATGTCTCATGCTTTTCTTTTCTTATCCATAACAGATAACAGACGGATGCTGCCTAGTTCTTTAGTCCTAATGTTCATCTCTCAATTATGCAGGAACCGAATGCTGAGCCAGTAATACCTGAAGGTTTCCCTGAACGGAAAGAAACTATGGATTCATGGGTTTACAAATTGAATGCAGCAATTGAAGTCGGTCATTTTTTTTTTTTTTTCATGCTATGTCTTGTGTGTGGTGATCCAAATGTGCATATTTGTTCCTTAACTGCTTACTGAAATGGCAGCAATAGGATTTGGTCTTCCAAAGGATGCATTCACTTCTTCATGAAGCTGGCAAGCACATATATTGCTTGATGGTGATTAGTTACTTCGTAGATTTCCTGTTGATTGAGGAGAATCGTCAAACATATATATGGATCTGAAAAAGATTTGGGGTTGAGTTGTGTGATAAGTTAGGGTTTGACTGTCCTTTGCTCCTTCTGGTGACTAACAACTTGTTTGCTATTTTAGATTGCAGGTTAGTCCTACAAAATCTTGTGATTACAACGTTATTATCGACAAAGATAGAGTTGATGGACACTTAAACAAAGAGGGAATTGAGACTGGAAATAATTGAGAGTAAATTTACACCATGAAAGAATGTTCGTAATTGTTGTAATTACTCTTTATTTTGTTCTAGAACGAGAATGAGTTTGTATTTAGTCATTCCTCTAGCTTAGATTTTTCTTCAAGGCTATTTAATTTTATTTAGAGGGATGATATTTTAACAATAAAAAATCATATAAATTTTTAAATAACTTATTTTTATTAATATAATAATCTATAGACTAATTTAATAAAAATAAAATTATTATTTTAATATTAAAACAGAGTTATTTATAGAAAATGTATGAATTGAGGTTTTCAAAATATCATTTTCCTATGGGGTTATTAAAGTAATCATATTAACGACAATGATGTATGTTTTAAAAGTTAATTTCAATAATATCTCATAAAATATTACGAAATATAATTTCAATTGTTGGTGGGGTTCAGTACTAACCTACTCTAGTTACTATGGTTTTCCTTTCATTTGCTTCTTCTTTAAAGCATTATAATAAAAATAAAGTTGACAAATAAAATCTTAAACGGCGGTTACTTAAAAAAATATTATTTTAATATCAGTTTCATACATATAAATTATTTAAAATTAAGAGTTACTTATATTAATAATTATCTTTAATTTTAAGCAACGGATCTTGAAATTTAAGTTAAAATAATATTTTATCAAGAGTAGAATGACTAGAAACTCATACACAGTATCGAGATGACAACAAAAGTTATTTCTGAACCATTCTTTGAAAAATTTTATTAGAACATTTTTGTCATGAGAACAGGTACCCACTGAATGTAATAAAAAAAAAGAAAAGAAGATAAAAGAAGATACGTTACAAATTAATGTAGCCTATTAAAGAGAACACATTAAGTCTTGAAACAAGGTTTGTCAAGTAAACATGCCTAGCCCTAACTTTGATTAAGAAGAATGTCAATCTTAGACATAGTGAAGGATAGTTTAACCAACAACCCATGGTAAAAAAAAAAATTACAGTACGTGACTTGCACCCCTGTTAAAATAATGTACTATCAATTATGATAATTTAATTATGATAAAATTTAATAATAATATAATCAGTTTTATTTCTTAATTTATACACAATTATGTACCATATCAATTATGATAATTTAATTATGATAAAATTCAATAATAATATAATCAGTTTTATTTCTTAATTTATACACAATTATGTATCATATTTATTTATAAGGAAAATATTTTAGGAAAATATTTTTTTGATTTTCAGGGATAAATTTGTATATAGGTTTATTATCTTGTATTCTACTTATACCTCCTTTGTATCTTTTTTAAAATAAGAAATACATAATATATTTTTCGCATGGTACCGGAGCTTGATCTAGACCATTCCTAACCTAGTGCAGTCAATCATGAAAGAGAACAATGCAGGAGATTTAGTTACCAGTTTAGTCGAAGGACCTACTCTTCCTATCACTGGTCACAAATTGAATGGCTAAAATTATCCTCAATGAGTGTGTTCAGCTAAAATCTTCTTTCAAGGAAAAGGAAAGTAAGGTTACATCACCAGAAACTCCAAGTGTTCAATAGAGGGTGACTCTAACCTCAACAAATGACAACTAGAAAACAATTTAGTCATGTCATGTTTACTTAATACCATGACCAATGAAATTTGGGAGAATTTTATGTACTATGACACTGTCAAGGAGATGTAAAATGTAGTGAAGGAAACTGAATCAAATGTGGACAATACATCTGCCCTGTGGTATTTGAGATCAAGAACATACTCCATGAACTACGATAAGGTGATTTCTCATTCACTGAGTATTTTAATACACTCAGCCAACATTGACAACAACAACTAGACATATATGAAGATGTTCAATGAAGTTGTGTCAATGATAAGAAGTATAAAGAATTAGTAGAAAAAGATAGGATCTACAAGTTCCTAATGAGGTTGAACACAAAACTTGATGAAATCCGATGGATAATCCTTGGAACCAAACCTCTTAAAACAATCCAGGCAGTATTTTCGGAAATGAGAAGGGAGGAGAGCATGAGGAAAGTAATGCTTGGAAAGTCAAGTGCAGTCCCACCCATTGAAGGCACAACAATGACAGCAAGGGGAACCAATCTCGTCCATCTAAAAAGAAGAATCGGCCTGGTGTGATTACTGCAAGAAATTAGGACATACTTCTTTAGAGGAAAAACAGACAAAAAACCTAGACAGCAGAGACAACACACCAGAGATAAATTCTTCAGCAAACAATTCAGCAAGGAGCAAATGGAAGCACTAGAAAAAAATTCTCCAACAAACAATTGGTACAACTACAATAGCATAAAAAGATAATTTTTTGCATGCTCTAAATACTAGTATAGAAAAATCAAAGTCATGAATAATTGATTCAGAGCCTTAGATCACATGACTGGAGACTTGACTGTGTTTAAAAACTATACTCCTTGCCACAATAATTACACAGTTCAGATAACTGATGAGAATCTTTCCAAAGTCATGGGTTCAATTATTATCTCACAAAATATTAACTTGAAGTTAGTCCTTTATGTGCCTAAACTTGATTGTAATTTTTTGTCCATTAGCATACTGACAAAAGATTTGAAGTGTCACTAAATTCTTCCCTAACCTATGTGAATTTCATATTTTAGAGACGGGGGAGACAATTGACGTTGCTAAAGAATGTGTTTGACTCTTTTGCCTCCAAACTGAAGCGTCAGAGGCGAAACCCAAAGCCAATTCTTGTGTTGTGGTATCTAACAATAAAATTTCTATAATGTTGTGGCATTATCAGCTTGGCTACCCAAATTTTATGTACTTAAGAAGAATATTTCCCACATTATTCAATAAAACTCAAGAGTTGTTTCAATGTGAAATATGTCAATTGGCCAAACATACCCGCAACTCATACCCGCCTCAACCCGATAAACCCTCTTAACCTTTCTCCATAATTCACAACGATATATGAGGACCGTCACGGATAAAAAATGTTACGGGATCAATATGGTTTGTCACCTTCATAGACGATTACATACGGGTCACTTGGGGTGTTTCTAATGAAGGAGAAATCAGAAGTTGGCATAATATTTGAATTTTGTTCATTATGGTGGAAACGTAATTTCAAAGTAGGATTAAGGTACTTATGAGAGATAATGGCTAAGTATTACCACTCTATACTAAGTTCTTACCTTCAAAGACATGGAATCATACATCAGACTTTATGTGTAGATACCCCTCAGCAAAATGGGATCGCCGAGAGAAAGAAAAGATATCTCTTAGAAGTGACCAGATCTCTCATGTTGACTACAAATGTATCCAACCAATTTTAGGGAGAAGTTGTCATCTCTAAAACCTACCTTATAAACAGAATGTCTTCCCGAATCCTCAACTTTAACACACCTCACTCTATTCTCCAAACCTCATACCCTAATAGTCATATCCTTATATTTGTTCCCTAATATTTGGATGTTCAGCCTTTATTCATAACATTCATCATCGTTGCAGCAAACTTGACCCAAAATCCATAAAATGTATTTTCCTAAGCTATTTTTCCCAATAAAAGGGGTATAAATGTTATTCACCTCAAACCAGAAAATTTTACCACACCATGGATGTAACCTTTTTTTATAATCCTTATTACCCTAAAGTTGACATTCAGGAGGAGCAGATTTATTCAATTGAAGTGGCAGAATCTCAACTTTCAGAATCTCAATTTTTGGGATTTGAGCTAACTCACTTTGCCCCAAATATAGAATCAGCCAAGACTGCACCTACAGCAGAGGAAAATACAATAACAAATGCAAAGTCAGCCGAAATTGCAGTTGAAAGAAAGGAAGAAGAATCTAGCACAACTTCAAGGCAAAGTCATGAATCAAACCAAACTCCATAAAATGAGTTTTTCCTAGGCAATATCGTTTCTAATCTTGAACCTATTGATGACATTAACATTCCATTGCATTAAGAAAAGGGGTGAGATCTTGCACTCAACACCCCATTGGAAATTATATATCCTATAAAAAATTGTCACATGGGTATAGGTCGTTTGTGACAGCTCTTAACAACATACATATCCCAAGAAATATGCAAGAGACACTCCAACAACCTGAATGGGCAGCAACTGTAACAAAAGAAGTCCAGACCTTGGTTAAAAATGGCACATGAGAAATCATCACCCTACCAAAAAGGATAAAATCGATTGGATGCAAGTGAAATTCTCCATCAAATACAATGCAGATGGTAGTATAAACCGGTACAAAATCCAACTGGTGGCAAA